AGTATGGTTATCAGTCTCCCTATACCGTTGCAACATTCGGGAAATGGATGTGTGGTATACACCAAATCTATCGGCTATTCTGCGGTAACTTTAACCTTCTTTTACTAACAGGACTGTTTGGGCACATTCTTAACGTGTTAACTTTCTAGATTTGCGTTGCATATTGTTAATTTTACCAAAATAATAATAATATAATATAGTTTTTAAACACCATGTTTTAAAATATTTATTTACATTTTAGTGTTTGTTTTGCCAGGCTTTTTTATACAGGAAATATTATGTGGTGCATTAAATTATTGGAGTAATGTATATTGAATATTTATCAGGCTAAAATATATACCTAATGATATAAAAACTGAAAATAATAGTTATTTATGTCATTAGGTTAAGAAGTAAGTCTTTTTGTGCTAAGCTCAAAGTTTGAAGGCCGACGCGTAGCGGAGGCCTACAATTGAGCGAAGCACAAAAAGACACTTCTTGGCCGAATGGCATGCAACATTTTATCTTCAAAGCACTTTATATAGGTCAATTTAATTCAACTTGAAAGGGGCCTAACCTCACTTTTTTAGAATCTCATTTATTTATTAGCTAAAGATTACATTAAATGTACAATAATTATTATTACTTTCAGAAGCAGTAATAGTTTGACAATACCTAGCTACATGATTTAAGTAGAAATGAATTTTTGTAAGAAAATGGTTTACTTACCCTCTTGCTATTACATTGAATTCAATTAATTGTTTAATAAATAGGTATCTAATTTCAATTTGTTTGCATTTTTATTAAAAAAAATAGGTAGTTTGGAATGTTTACGCTGAGTTTAACATTTAATTTCACTGAAAACTTAAAGCAAATTAAAACTTAAAGATAATTTAAATCGTAGAAAAAGAAAACACAACTGTGAAATCCACAGAAACGTCAAATTGCAATGTCCTAACCTTTCTTTTTGTTTTATTATTTATATTTAATTTTACAATAATTTAATGAAAAATATTAAACATTAACAGTAAAATAAACAAATTAGTGCTTATTATAAATAAATTAAACCAGTTTAGTACGTTAATTTCTTAGAAAAGGATTAATTTTTCAAAACAATAACTCTAGCGAGAAAAAATCGAATTTTTATCGGCCTAGGCCATAACAAGTTATTTCTTTATCGAATGTTGACAACAATAAAGTTTAAATTATAGACCGCGTGGAGATAAAAATTATTAAAGTTACTTAATATTGTTTGAAATATGAGCTCAACTTTATTCTTTACCGAGTATTTAATATTGTTTAGTAAAATCTAAACAAACATTTTTTTAAAAGTCTTGTTAACTAAGGATAATATTTATGTTTCAAAAATATAATGAGGTTTATGTTTGGCTTATAAATGGTTGTTTTCTTTTTGACTTTATAAATCCATTAATAATGAAAACTAATTACATTAAAACGCACTGAAGCTTTTAAAAATCATTAACGAATATTAATTAAAATATTTTACAAAATAAATATAATATTTTATTCATTGCAAAATAGTTAGGCTAAAAAGTGAGTCTTTTTGTGCATCGCTCAGAGTTCTAGCGAAGCACAAAAATTGTTTTGACAGGTAGTTTTCAAGTTATTAAGTATTTAATTTTTAAAAACTCGACAACGCTGTTTTTTATGTTGATTAATGGGACAACTAACGGTAATTATGGAAAATAATCCAAATTGTTAAATTTAAATTGTTCAAATTATTTTTTAACCATATAAATGTTTATACATGATTAAAAGACTAGTGTTTTTTGCACAAATTATAATACATTTTTTTTATTTATATGTCAAAAAGATTTATTCTTAGAGTGCGTTCCACGAAATATTACAAACATACTTTACAAGTGATTATTACAAAAGAATATTACAAGAACGATAAGTAAGTGAGAAGGTGAAATAGGCAATTCTACATATAAGTATGAAAAAAATGTTAGATATTGCAAAAGAAAAATCTAGCCATTGTTGTTCCACTTTAATGGCTATCTTTATCTTTTAACATAAAAAACGTATGCGTTCTTCATAAAAATACGAACATAACCAATTTTGTAGACAGTTCAAACTTTACTTGTTATAAAACCATTAACAGCGTATTTGTATTATTTTTATTATAACTTTCTTAAAGAAAGGTTTTAAAATTAAAATTCTCTTCTTATATGTACTTTGCGGCGATTTTCTAAAGTTTAAATTTATTTAAGGAATAATGGACATAACCTATAAACACATGTTTTAAATACACTTACTTTCACTGTAAAAAAACTGCTTATATATCTAATTTAAACGGTTGTTAGTCCATTTCAAGAGATACCTTTTAATCTTTATAGACAAATTTGACAGCTAACACGTCCATTTAAAAAGCCAGTAAAAACAGATTTAAAGGTTACTTCAGTTTTGTATAGATGTCGCTTTATAAAATTATTTAAATTAATGATAATAAATTATTTTTTTCACATAATAATATTTGTCGTAAAAAAAGTATTGTAAGGTACTCGTTTATAAACTTTTTTATACACTTATTTTATTAAACACTTGCTCGCAAGCTCGCTCGTGCCTAATTAAAATTCGTGACTAAAATGGCATTTATAAAACTTAATACATAATATACTATTATCTACTGCTATTGCATAATAGTGAGTTTTTTTCATAAGTAATGATAAACATTATAAATTTCCTACCTAACAACGGGGATAATTAACTCATTATTCACGTTGTTAGGCATGAGTGATTGCTTGATTTTAATATTCACTGTGATCAATCAATAAATCAATGTGAATCAATCGGGTATTAAATTGGGAGAAGGCGACTAAAACAACATTTAAAATTGGTAAAAAGTGATGTTAACCTTTTGACAGATGTTAGATTTTATTTATTTAATTTTGAAAATAATTTTATTATCTACATGGCACATAGAGTAGATTATGCGCAATATTCACACAGAGGATTTAAGCCTCACGTCTGATTCTAGACTCAAAATTCATCCTCGTAAATAATTGCCTGCAGTATCTCTCATATAATAATATGATATACGAAAAAAAAATGCCAAAGTATCGACATATACCTTATATTGTTTTATTAATAAAAAAATTTGAGAAAGGGTCAAACATATCGCACATGGGCGACAACAGTGTCATAAGTAGTTAAACCTTAATTCCGAGATAATGACCGTAAAAGATTTTTGAATAACAAAATTCTAACATATTTGTAAAAATTATCGATATAAACTTACAGTATTTTCTTTGCAAAGGAGGAACCACACTAAGATTCTGAGCCAGTTAAAAATAAGATTTAAAAAATACTCTTTTTGAATAAGAGCTATTTGTAGATATGTCTGTGTTGCCGTAGAAGGTTTCCATAAATTTTGAAGATATGTCTGTGTTGCTGAAAATATGTGCAAGAATTTTGCAGATATGTCTGTATTGCTAAAAATGTGTTGACCACATGTTTTAAATTATTAATTCTTTTATTGTTGATTAAGAATATGAGGAACGTATGACTGGCCCCATCGGAAACGCCTTACACTGATTTTCTGCCACTGCACAGCATTGCCTGTGTTTGGTGGATCCGAATTTTTACCCCGGCTGGTAAATTTTGTCTAGGAGCTCGTGGATGACAGTGTCGATGGTTAAGGCCAGTCCCGGAACTTTGTCGCCCCGGGCCATACGCCCGATTTAAGCTAGTGGAGTGCAGACAAGGAGGGAAAACATTTTGGTTTTTGAGGGACATTGAACTGATCCAAAATTAAGTACAATCCGGAGTCCCCCTCAACCAGGGATTTAGTAATTACCCCATTCAATTTTGGTTCAAGAATGGGGCTCGGTTGGTTAGTACGCTGCTAGGATTTATCTGGTCTTAAAGTACTTCCTTTTCGTATATGTCCGTGTCTGTCCGAGTCGGATTCCGAGGTTGCTGACTATCGAACGTTGCACCCCACTGTGCAGTTGTTTATTATTTCGTATAGAAGGTAATTTATGGTTCCCTTAAATGTGCTTAGTAATCTACAGATGTTTTTTCTTTAGGATGAGTTTCTTTTGCCTAGTGTTTATTTAAACTTGAGTGATTAAATACTGGTTACGTGAGCCCTTATTTATGAGTTCTTTGGCCATGCTTGCTGTTCTTATGTCAACTGTTGGCGACTAATTAATTTTTACCTAGTGCAGTTCTCTATAAGTTGAGGTTGCGCATTAAAATTTAGTTTTTAAGTATTATTAAGGTCATCCAATTTTGGTAGGTTTACTTATCCGGTTTATTTAGACTTCAGGTGCATTGACAGGCAGGTGTTGTGAAATTATTCCTTAACCTCGACAGCCAACTATTAGCTCGTGTTGTTTCTGTGTTGGTAATTCAGGAAAAATTATTTGTTGTATCCAATCACCTCACTTACACCCTTTTTACAAGAATTCACACGCAATTTGCACCCTTTTTGCACTTGGTTTTGTTAGATCACGTGTAGAATCATTTGATTTTAAGGATTTGAACACCGATAGCGGTGGTAGTACTATGAAAGTACGAACGCGTTAAACGAAATCCTAAACACACGACCTTTTGCCTTAAGGTGAGGAGCGTCACTTATTCATTCTTTTATTGTTGACAACTTTAATTTTACTAACCTAAGCTAACAAAATTACTGTCACAACTTACAGCCAACTTACTTATGACAGTGAAGATGTAAATTATGATAGGGATTATACAAATTGCAAACAGACACAAGTCTCCATCTAGGGATAAATTTAAAAAATATCTTTTTGCCACTGTTGCAGCATAAACTATGATTAATTTTACACTTATTGCACTAAAAACCTCAAAATTCAATTTTCTCGACTTATGACACTGTTATCGCCCATGTGCAATATATAAACAAACATAAATAAATAAAATTTAAACTTTATAAATATATGTTACCAATATTTTTTTTCAATTTCACGGCTTCAGGCTTGCATCCGTAGAAATATAATGTTGACGATTATAGTTAGAAAATGGATACTTACATTTCGACTCTCTCAACGTTTATTCCCCAAGAATCGGTAGCTTCGTCAAGCAGTGCCTTCATGTGTTGCGAAATGCTTTCGCGCTCGCTTAGAATTTCGTGCAATGGCCGTTGGCCCATGATGTTACGCAAGGTGGTTTGTGCCAACAGTCGGGTGGAATGATGCGCATTTTCCACGTTGGCGATGGAAACAGTTGCGTTCGAGACGCGATAGTATACCACTGCGTCCACGGAAACTGTTACGCTGTCTTTGGTTAAAACCTGTAAAATATAATTATGTTTATTAATTACATTTTATTTCAATTTAGTTGGGTTAAAAGTTAATTAAAAAATGGCGAATGCGCCGGGATTAGTGGTTTATTTTTGCTTTGTTTCTCAAATTTTTAATAAAACATTCGTAGTAGGTAAATTTTAATAAAACGATAATTATAAACAAATATTATTTAAATAACCAGTATGCTAACAATTCCACAAATGGCCAAATTTTTCATAGCAAGACAACTTAAGATTTTATTGTTGATATATTATTTTATTACTATGTACATATTAGGGTGCTTCATTTGAAACGAACATTTTTTTTTTCCGCTGACACATGAAAATTTTGTTCCTTGTATCGAAAAAAAAATTCCCTGAAAATTTGAGCCCTTAATTTTAATTTTCAGTGGTTCCTCTCGATCGATGTATATTTCCCATTGAAATAACATGTAAATCATGATTTTTTAAATTAAAATTAACATAGCTCCGTTTGATTTCATGGTATTTCATTGCGATTAGTCAGAATTTGTAGTATATTAGTGACTCTTTGAAAGTGCCCACCAAAATTTTTTTGTCCTTGAACCCGTCTCATCGGTCTCGGCCTCGAAACCCCAATTTTCTCAAAAATTATTATATTTTCGTTTTTATCAACAAAACAGTTGAACTTATGAAAAAAATGATCAGAAAATAATTTGTAGGAAATTAAATTTCCTACAAAAATATCCCTGTATGAATTTTCTGAGGTCCATAGTCCAAAAGGTATAAACAGTTTAATGTATTAAAATCTAAAAAAAAATATGAAATTTTAATTTTTATTGTATGATTTTTCAACTTACACTTTTGTTTAACAAAGTTAAGCTCATTCAACTTTTTTTTTTTTAAAAAAAGATCGGTAATATTGGGAAGAGATGTTAAAAAATTTTTTTCATCGCCTTATCTTCAAGAGTAGAATGTCTCATGTGAATTTCTGATATTTATTGAGTGTAAAATATTTTATTTTGTTCTTAGTATAAAAATATACAATATCACGGTGCTGTTCTGAGAGGTGATTTTTGGACTTTCTGTGAAACCTAATTTTTTTTATATTCTTGTTAATTAGGTCATAACTAAAATTTTAAGAGCAAAATAAAAAAAATTTGACGGTTAATTTTGTTTTAATTGGATGTTTATTAAAAATATATGTATGTACACTTTCAATTCACCATTTAAAAATTGCGATTTTATTTAAATATTATCATAACTTTTTAAATCAGATTAAAGATTAGTTAATTTCCTAAAAAAAGGTCTATACATTTTTTATATATTTTACTGTTTTGTTGTAATACACGTTTAAAGTTTTAATTAAAGGTTAAATGTATAGTATACATTTATTAAACAATAATTCTAAGGGTGCCACATTTAGGGCCGATTTATTCATTTTTGATTTATTTGACGAATAATTTTTTTGGATACTAGATATTGCCAAGACATGAAAGTTATCAACCCGATAAACTTTACTAAAGATGAATAAACCGGTCCTTAGTTAAATTTCATGAATTTCTTCGTAACTTTTACTACAATTTTTTATTTTTGTTTATAAAAAACACTTTAAAAAACTAAACAAAAATTATAGAATACGTATACTGAAAATGACAATTCAAACGTCAAATAAATTTTTAATAGATTTAAGTTTCATGGCAACCTTTAAGGATATATTAATTAAGGGAACATAAATGTATACGTCAAAGGTTAGATTAAAAGTTTGAACGTTTATTGCAACAAAACAGTAAAATATATAAAAAAAATTGTAAAAACCTTTTTTTTAGTTATGCAAATATTAAATATTTAAATTAAATCGCTAGTTTTAATTGGATAATTGAAAGAGTGCATAATATTTTTAATAAACAGCCAATTAAAACAATTCAAACCGTCAAATTTTTTTTATTTTGCTCTTAAACTTTTAGTTATGACCTAATTAACAAGAATATAAAAAAAAAATAGGTTTCACAGAAAGTCCAAAAATCACCTCTCAGAACAGCACCGTGATATGTATACATATGTATTATTTTTTGTACTTTTTCATAATTTATTAATACTTGGGGGCACTTTATATATTTTAGATCGGTAAGAAGGAAGATTCCAAAGAAATAATAAATTTTAAGGTTACCCTATAATATTTTTAAGGTTTATTACAAAAACCATAACTTCATTATTAATACGAAAAATTCAAAACTCTTTTAATGGTTAAGATTATATCGACATTTAAATAAATCACATTTATATTTTCGGCTTTATCAATATCAAGGATTTTTGATGGTCATATTATTTTAAACAAATTGTGAAATAACCAAAATACTAAGCCAAATTAAATACAATCAAGTTTTACAAGTTGGTCCAAAAAAATTAATTTTAAAATTTTTAATATTAAATTTTAACCAGTGTACCGAGCTTCTTGTTTGGAGCTGAATATCAATTTCTCACATAAACAAACCTCACTCTTCTACTTTAGAGTTTTCAGAAGAAAATGTAGAACCATCTTTACTTTCCCTTCCTGCCTATTTTTTTTTTCCTTGCCGTTGCAACGCGTTGTTTTATGGTTTAAAAAATCTAATTTTTGATTTTAAAATATCAAATATTCTCACGCTTGTTGATAGCTTAATATCGTTTATACAATTTTGATAGTTTACTCACACGTAAATCAATTTGATGCGTACCTAAGCGTGTCTTGCCAAAAAACTAAGTTATAAAAAACTGCTTACAAGTTTGTTTATAACTTACTGACAAAGTTTTGTCCTCTTCTAAATAGTAAAATTAAACTAATCCGGGAAAATGTAAACCACGAAAACGTCTTGCTGTATACAAACTTTAAATTGGATTTCCAAGAAGCCAGTTAGTTGGAGCAAATATTAGGTTTGTTTCCACATGAAATTATAAACATGTTTTTAACAATTTTCAAACCATTCTCGTGAAAGAAATCCGCAACTAGTTTTGATTTAAGTGAAACCACTGGACTGAATGTATAATGCTTTTTTTAATATTCTCTACTTTTAGTTAAACTTACTAGTTTAGTATGTAAAATATTAAATAAACATTTACTTAAAGAAAATATATTTAAAAAAAATAATGAAACAAATACAAATGAAAAGCTTAGTGGATAAACATGTTAAGTGTTATTTTCGTGCTACGCAAGAAAGTGATAACTACAATATTAAAAGATAAAGGTAACCACACTTTTGCTTAGCACGAAAATGTCATCTATTAAGAGTTGTTTATTTGTATTATAAGCTTGTCAACAATCTGCTTAAACATAATCCTCATACTGCTCGGACTGTATAAAAAACCGAATGTGCACACTTTAAATATCAAAAACAAGTTTCCACATTAGTTTGAAACTCCTCGACATTCTGATACGTAGTCGTGTTATTTTATGAGTAAAGCATGAACACAAATGAACATAAACATATACCACAGATAAAATATACTTTTCTCTTGTTACACACGATTAAGTATTTTTACTGACATAATTCAGGAGAATAAATTAATTTTGGAAAAAAATATCTTCTTGTTTATAAATAACTTTCAGACTAAGAATTTATGCATGTTTCACAACAACTCGGCACCTGAGGTTATTATTCTATAAAGACAACATTTTGGAGCATAAATACTACAGCAAAAATGCTACTTTTGGTTACCCAGTCCATATAAATATAAAAAACAAGCAGTAAGTAGCAACCTAGGTTTACATTTGGTGCGAATATAACTAAATAATTACATACAAAAATTACCTATGTGAAGGCTAGATGTTTTTTTCCATAAAAATTATGGACCACCCCAAATGTTATGTATTATATTATTACCTAACAGTAAAAAGTTTCCATATAAATTATATGACTGTAAAAAGGATGCATTGAAACCAACAAAAAATATACAGCATAAAAGCCATAAATTATGCAAAAATAAGTCCATATTTGCTGAATTACATATACACATAAAAAACGCTAAGTGCTTGAAAAATATTTGTATTCCTATTATATAATGTACAGTGTGTTCAAAAACAATAAAATTGTTATCAATAAGAAAACTTTTTATGTAAACATTGAGTCACACACCTTTACCCCCTGTGCCCAGGACCTAAAAAATCTTTAATTGAAAAGTGTATCGACTAATACATGTGTATCGACTAATACAAGGTCAAATTGCGTTCATTTGCTGTACCCGTTAAAGTAAATATTATCACCCATAATATAACAAGTGGTATGATTATCATCGATGATATTTTCGAATTGAAACCGAGCTGCAGATTTCACGAGTCCGCAGGACGAGTGAAATGTGCTGCTTCGGTTTTAATGAGTAAATATCATCGATAATTAATCATAGCACGAGTTATATTTAGTGAGAAAATATAATGAATTTTAGGATTTAACGAATTTTTAGTTTGACATTTGAAATTAAAATGTGCTTTAAAATATAAAAAGACTTTAATAAACCTTATTTATTTAAACTTACCTTAATTTCATTATCGTTTACACCAACCCATCGATCTTTTAGAGTTTATAATTCATTATTTTATTAATATATATCAAAAACAGAATTTAAATGACAACATGTCAAATCAAAAAAACGTCAAAATTCATAGTAACGTGTAAACAAGATGATAAAAATTATTGCCGCTGTGATAAAATACGTCACTATGGAATACTGGCATTTTATTGGTTCTAATATTAATGAATTGTATTGTCAGTAAAATGGCACAAGTTTTGAAATGTGTTTTTAGTCGTTTTCTCGCATAAGAGGTGGGGAATTTAACAATAATACAAATACAAATACAAATGTGCTCTTTTAGTTCCACCCTTACTTCTTAAGAAGTCCCATAAGCCAACTGAATGGCTTGTACGGGTTAGGGGTAGGAACGGACCGCGGGCTTAAAGTCCCCTCCCATTATGCATGCATGCCTATAAAAAATTCAAATATAAGCACGAAAAGTTTTTAAAATGGTTAACAAATCATGCGCCAACGTCAAAATAGGA